ACTTTATTGGCGCCGGTGAACGCAAGCAGCAGTGATTGAGGGAATCAGGTGGTGTGACCTCTTCTCGACCTGACAATACATCATGTCGCCCCTTTCCTCTTCTTCTTCTTCTTCTCCATCTTCTTCCTTTTCCCTTCCTTCTTCATCCTCTCCATCCTCTTCCTCCATTGCTACCTCTACTTCTACCGCTCGCTCCCGTCTTGCTTCTCTCTCCTCCCACATCATGGGCTCTACCACCCCCTCCGTCTTTTCCACCGCCGTCGTGCCCGCCGCACCAGAAGATGCTCTCTTCGGTCTGGCTCAGGCTTTTCGCCAGGATTCCTCCGACAAGAAGGTCGATCTAGTCATTGGCGCTTACCGCGACGACAATGCCAAACCCTGGATCCTGCCCGTCGTCAAGAAGGTACTTTCGCTACCCCTCAATTCCCCACCTGCACATCATTATCTCCCTCCATCCCCGCAGCATCTCAACTAACCAACTCCGACAGGCTGACGAGCTCGTTCGCAATGACCCCGCCCTCAATCACGAATACCTCCCCATCAAAGGTCTCGCCGACTACACCACCGCCGCCCAGAAGTTGATGATTGGCGCCGACAGCCCTGCCATTCGCGAGAACCGCGTAAGCATTCCCCCATCCCTTCTGTGATTCTATCCAATCTAACATCTCCTAGGTATGCACCTTTCAGACCATCTCCGGCACCGGTGCCGTGCACCTGGGTGCTCTCTTCCTCTCCAAATTCCACCCCTCCAACCCTAAGCCCACCGTCTACCTCTCCAACCCAACCTGGGCCAACCACAACCAAATCTTCACCAACGTCAACCTCTCCCTCGCCAACTACCCCTACTTCGACCCGCAAACCAAGGGTCTCAACTTCTCCGGCATGCTCTCCGCTCTGCGCGACGCTCCTACCGGCTCCATCATCCTCCTGCACGTCTGCGCCCACAACCCTACCGGCGTCGACTTGACCCAAGACCAATGGAAGGAGGTCGCCGTCGTCATGCGCGAGCGCAACCACTTCCCCTTCTTCGACTGCGCCTACCAGGGTTTCGCCTCGGGTGACCTCGCCCGCGACTCCTGGGCCGTGCGCTACTTCGTCGAGCAGGGCTTCGAGCTGTGCGTCGCGCAATCCTTCGCCAAGAACTTTGGTCTGTATGGTCAGCGCACGGGCGCCTTCCATTTCGTCTCGGCCCCAGGTGCCGAGGCCACCCAGGCGAATGCGCATATCGCGTCGCAGCTCGCCATTCTGCAGCGCAGTGAGATTAGTAACCCGCCGGCGTACGGTGCGCGCATTGCCAGCCGGGTGTTGAACGATGAGGGTCTGTTCCAGGAGTGGGAGGAGGATCTGAAGACGATGAGTGGTCGCATTGCAGAGATGCGCAAGGGATTGAGGGAGCGCTTGGAGAAGAAGGGCACGCCGGGCACTTGGAACCACATTACGGATCAGATTGGCATGTTCAGTTTTACGGGGTTGACTGAGACGCAAGTGAAGGTGTTGAAGGAGAAGTGGCATGTCTATATGGTATTCCCCCTCTTCCTAACCCCTCGATATCACCATGTGGGTATATACTAATGATGTGACAGACCAAGAACGGCCGTATCTCCATGGCCGGGCTAAACACACATAACCTGGACTACTTTGCCGAAGCAGTGGACAGCGTAGTGCGGGAGACTTCATAATATACCACAGGTAGGACATGATGATGGATATGGAATGGATATATGTAAGGTACAACAGCTAGACTGGTAGACAAACACCTCAACAATACTAAAATATAAACACACTCGAATTCAAGATGAGATAGTAATAATGAAATGATATCTAAAACACCAAATCCCAAACAACCAACCACGTACACAACCCCACCGTTCCCCAAAACACCGCCTGCGCCGTACTCCGTCTCTCCGTCGCCCGCTTCAACTCCTTATTCCCTTGACCAATATTCGCCTCGGTATTACTCGCATCCGTCACCAGCTGCGAGATATATTCCTCCTGGGTAGATAAATGCGACACGAGGGTTTGCTGGAGCGAGGAGATCTCGAGGAGGGATTTTTCTGCGTTCCTACCCCACAGTCAATCATTAGCAAGAATATAACATAGGGATAAAGGGGATATATATCATACTGAACCTTCCCCACCACATCCTCAAAATACCTCACCAGGGAATCATTCTCCTCCTCAAACAGTTGCAATTGCTGCGGAGTTAACTGTTTCTCGATCTCTTTGACCTCATTCTCATCCATCTTCACCACCACACCAGTAGTATTATTATCCCCCCTCCACTCCTCCCCATCCACCCTCCCCCATCCACCACCACCACCACCAACAATCCCAGACGAAGAAGTATTCTTATAAAGCACACTCCTCTCCCTCTCCCTCACCCTCTCAATCCTCTTCTCCACCATATCCCTCTGCTCATTAACCACATTCCCCAGCTTCACATTCAGATAGAATAGCACGCTTTCCCTCACCCCCTTTAACACCTTTTCTTTCTCCTCCTCGATAATCTGTTCTTTATCCTTTCCTTCATGTCCACCCTCCGGGGAAGTTAGAGTGGTGGCTCCGCCAGCCCAACGGGCAAATAATCCCTTCCCGAATCTCTGTGCGATGCTCCGCGAAACGGTCTCCTGCCGGAGATTCTCTGCTGCGCTGAGGGTGGTTATTGATGTGGAGAGGTTGGAGAGGAGGGTTGAGGTCGTGGTGGTTATGGTGTCGCGGGCGGAGTCGTCTAGTAACTCGGTTTGGTGTTTGGGGGTGGTGGTGGTGGTGGTTGGTTTTGTGTTGGTGAGGGAGAGGTAGGATGGGCGGATGGTTTGGAGGTAGGATAGTAATGAAGTGATGTGATTGTTCTATTTCAGTTGGGTAGGTGTTTGTTAGTATGTGGTGGATGGATAATGGGAGATGGTATGGGATGGGTATACAATTCGGTAGGCTTCTTTGAGGAATTCGTCGGCGATTTCGGTCGTCATGTACCCTGTGGAGAGTTTCGAGGTCGGCGATTTGCTGTGCACCAGTTGGGTGAATGTGGGGGTGAGGTCGGTCATTGTGCTGTGTGTTGCTATATACAACTTCGGGGTTGTGGTCTGTTGGTGCGAGCTGGCTTGTATCTACACTACATCAAGCTACGGATAGGTGTTAATCACGTGATGTGTGCTTACGTGTTTATGCATTGTCATAATTCATATCATCCATACCAGCCATACAGCCTTACAACCATACCATATCAACCAAACTCCAGGGTATACGCTAATGCAATCCTAAATCACGCCTCGCTCCTCAACCCATATCTGTCATAGTTAGCACGATCTCTTCTCTCGTTGCAGTCAAGTGGGTGTATATACCTCCATCTTGCCCATCTCGCTCCCCTCTCGCCGCGCCACCTCGCGCGACCCCGCCATCAACAAGTCTAGATCCTCCTGGTCCACCATCGTAATCATATCCCCATCATCTTGCATGCGGATTCGCAGCAATGTGCGGAACCCAAACTTGTCCCGGATCCGACTCTCAAACTCCCTAAACTCAATCGTCGGCTCCATCATGATGTACCGTGTATCTTCTCGCGAGTGCGCCTTCACTCGGAACTTGCGCACCTCCGGCCGTCGTGACGTCCCCCGCCGCGATCCCCGGTTCGGAGACGCCTGCGGCCGCGTTCCCATGATCTCAAACTCACCGTCCGGTCCGTTGTCCTCGTATGCATCACTGGCATACTCTTCTTGCTCGTCAATATACCGCTCTTGTTGACGGCGCCAGGTGGCGCCCGCTGGCATCGATCGAGTGCCCGAATACGACTCCTCCGAGCTCACCGTAGGGGCAAAGCCCGTGTCACTCATGCCTCGTCGATGACCATGGGACTCGCCCGGCCCTCGTGGCCCTGACCCCGGCCCCGGCCCCGGTCGACCCGGACCTGCCCGCGACTCGGACGCCGTGCGCGTCGTGCCGATCCGCGGCTTTTCGACCAGCGTTTCTGTACTGTGGCCCGCCGTCAGGTCGAGCCGGGGCGGGCGCGCTGCCCGGATGGACCCCGGTCGACTGTTCATCGCGAGACTACCTGTGGAGCTGTTGGTACTCGCCTTGTCTGCGTCCGGCGGGGGAGTAGGAGGGAAGAGATTACGGTTCAGAGGCGGCTCCGATTGCTGACGGCTCCGACTCTGCAGGTTTTTATGCACCAGGTGCGACGTGGCAAACGGCAGCGTCTCTGGCTTTCGGTGGTCCAGCATGGACATGGTTCGCTTGAGGTCATCGCTGGCTGCGGACGGCATGCTGCTGCGCTCGGATGCGGCAATCAGCCGGGACTTGCCCAGGTAGTCTTTTGCCTTGAGGTTCTTGACCTTGGCCTCGTTGGGTCGGTACACCACTCCCACCGGGATCGAAAAGACCGTGTAGCCCTGTTCCGTCAGTATCATCACTCTCACAAGAGGAAGCTGACCTACCGCCGCTTGCTCACGAATAGCATCGTCGATCACGTCGTGGTCGGGCGTGACTTTCTCTTTTGATGCATATTGGAGATCTTGCATGCCAGGTCCCATTTGCTGCAGGTATATATAGCACAGGCCGCGATTGAACAACACCTCACAGGAGAACAGCCGGAACTTCAAGCCCAACTGCTCATAGTCGATGGAGGTGTTGCCCCGGAGGTAGAGCAGCGTGTCATTGAAATTAGCCAATGCCTCCTCGAAGTCCCCCAGAAGAAAGTTGGACACTCCCTCTTGGAAGTAGGCAATAGCCAGATACTGGTCCAGGCCGACAGCCCGCTGGTAGCACTCAACCTGCTCTCGTCAGTAATGATCAGAGAATTAATAAGGTAACCTACCGCTCTTTCATGTTCTCCTAACGTGGCATAGATGACCCCGCAGTTGAAGAGAATCTTGGAGGTCTCTGCAATCGCACCAAAGACCCTAAGAGCTTCATCATATTCTTGATTATCGTAGTGGTCAAGGGCCTGTACCCAGGTTTCGATTTCCTAGCCCACATTAGCATCGTCCTAAACCATAAGGCTGTCATAAGTACCTGCTTCAAGGACATGGTCAAGTTGTCCGTAGCACGGCCACTGGCCTAGTTGACTTGGGCGAGGCGAGACGCCGCAGCAACTAGCGAGTGTATATGTATGCGACTGGCTATGGCCAAGACGCAATGGCTGGGTCCTGGCCACGCTGGAGCAGGGATGTGACGAGGGGCAGCGAGTCCACTGGGACGATGCCGTAAAGGGGATCCAATCGAGGGTAAGCCGGTTGGGGTCGGCACGCGGCAGTCGGTGTGGCTGCTAGTCGAGAGAGCGATAACCACCGTGAAGGAGTGATTGACCATGCGCACTACCCAAGCGTCGAGAGCCGAGAGTTGGATCGGATATATAATTAGATCACGGATCCAGCGACCCAGCCGCTAAGAGGGACCGGAGACCAGCCAAGACGCAAGGAGGGCCGTTGGCTGGATGTGATGAGTGATGGGATGAGGGGAGCACGGGCAATGTGAGGTGATTCGAGGGAAGGATTGGCAGAGATTCGTAAAAACGGGTCTGTTCTTTGAGTTTGCAGATTGGGTTGTGGATTGTAAAATGTGGGTTGTGGTGTGTGTGCCCTGAGATAATTGAATTCCAGCGGGACGGGAGAGAAAGAGGTACGGATCGCGATGGAAGAAGTCAAATCCACATGTAAATGCCAAAAAGGAAGAAACAGGGAAGGGGGTGGGATTAGCGTGCAGAGACGATGCAGCCGACAGGGGAGCTAGTTAGTTTAGCAGCAACAGCAGCAGCAGTAGTAAGAGTAGTAGGTGTAAAAGGTGACCGTCATGCCGGTTTAGATGGAGAAGACCAGGGAGGGGTGAGCAGCAGTAGATTGATGACACTTAGGCATGGCATCGGGCATGGATGGGAAGGGAGAGAGAGAGAGAGATGGAGAGAAGTATAAGCTTGTCTGGTCAGTCGGTGTAGCCAAGAGGAATACTTTCAGTCTCTTACAGCGTATCTACTGAGTTGACTAGTAGAGTGAATGAGTGGTGATGAAAAGAAACAGGAACTGTCACAGCTGCCCCGTTCGTAACGCCTGAGGGGGAAACTGGCGGATGAATGGCTGATAGCAAGCCACCCCCGGTCAGTGCCCAGGATGCCAATCCGGTGTGCGTGATGATCATTGGCTCCTGCAGGGGGTTGGCACTTCATCACAGTGCAGCCAAGATCCATCTCTTCCCCCTTGATTGGCTGCTGGTCGGGGTTCTTTTCCAGTTGACGCCCGTACCTTACAGTACTCAGATACTACTTACATACACACTCTCTTTCTGTCTTTTGCTTTCGGAGATACAAGATACAATCAAATTCAATACCATTTAATTTACACCAGAATACTCCAATGCTACCTCACTATCTCCTTACTACTTGCCATCAGCCATGGATAGATGAAGACTGGATGTTGGGCTGAAATGGGTCAAAGGCCCGTTCCGCAACCCATGCCGAGTGGGGAATTGTGGGCAATCTCCGATGTCACTGAAGAATTCAATCAAATCAATCAATCAATCAATCACCCTACAAGATATAGTATGATACATACAATTAGAGGACCTCCGGGACAGGAGGGAAAAGAAATTAACCAGGACAAATCAGAATTCATCACACAGTCTGCTTCAAAATTCGCATCACGTTGTCCCAATCCTTCTTTTTTTTCCACTCTCTCAGGGGATGATTAACTTTTGGGTGTCCCCGCCACGGCGCTTGCAGGAAATGGCCGAACTCCCCTTCGGTACCGATTTCCTGCCTGGGGTTCCTCTCCGACCCTCGCAGATGGACCCTCGCGGTTGGTGCAATAATTACCAGCATTAATCACTATCCACTAAGCAACTAACTAACCATTCCATTCGATTTCTCTCCCCCCGCCTTCATCAACCCCTCGACGACCGTTGTGACTAGACTACGACTAGTCCTGTAGACGCTGCTGGCTGACCTATCTTTAGCTGCGAGCCACCGTAGTCCCCCGACTAGTCGCTCTGTCGTGCAGCTCTCCTGCATACTCGTCGGTCACCTGAGTCTGGGGTGTCTACCATTGGATCCCTCGTCCATCTCTATCCCCATCCACCATCACCATCACCACCAACCACCACCACAAACACAAACTATCGGTGATGCAATGGGTACCCTGGTCCGGTCTCTATTTCTGGAAACCCCTCGCCCACGCGTTTCTATTTAAAAGTTCGGCAATGCGCTAGAATATCGTCACTCATGCTTGCTCGTATTCCTTATCTCAGGGCTGATCGATCATCGATCGTGGGTATCCTATCCCTAGTACTATGCACACTCTAACCACTGACCGCACTGCTTGCTATACATAGACACACCCGCCAGTCTAGCTTCCTCCAACCACATCCTCAATTCCCTCTCTTCTTCCTCTTTAGGCCATTCCCTGGGCCACCTGCTCCTGCCGCTCCTGCCACACATTCTTACCGGAGCAGGAACACACCATCTTGTCGTTATCCCACACCCCCGCGCTTCGAGCGATCACTCCCACTAAAGTGTCAGGGTCTTCCTGTCGAAAGGGCCCCTCCTGGCTCTTCGACACTACCATACTGCGCCCAATCATCTCCCACACCGCTACCGGGCGATCCAAAAATACATTGCCCCGGCCCTTGTCGTTCACCTCAACCGAGCCAAAAATGCCGCGGGGTTCCTTGACTGGCTCCGAACCCAGCACTTTAGCCTTGACGGCCTCCCAAATGCCGCCGGTGGATCCAGCCCCCTGCGAGATATCCCCTGTGTCGCGTACCGTGGCATAATACTTGCCGGGAGTAAGGCCGTTGATCGTCAGGTCGACCAGGGTCATGTTGGAGGAGACCTGGACCATGCGTGCCAGACCACGAATCTTGTTGGAGACGCTATTCGAGTGGGTTTCCAAGATACACACCGCGGAACCTGCAATGGTGCCATCAGCCTCGGTGTACTGCCTGGAGTAGGCAGGTGATAGACATACTGTTGGAGGTGCCACTGCCTCGTAGAATGGCATCCCGTCCCGTAGCTTGGATAGCGGAGACAATCGAGCTGGGTGGTGCCGTCCCCTCGATGAAGACTAGCTGGTCCTTAAGGTTTGCCTCGACCTTGTTGATGCCTGACCGGTCAGCTCGAGCACAGGGTTGCAATGCGGATGCGCCTACCCTCCAACTTCTTCAGCGATGCGGAAACATCCTTGACGCAGCCCTCGCAGGTCATCGGGACCGCAAAGGTAGTCTAAGCGATTAGTTAGGCATTCCCCTCAAGAGATGCATCGTCAACCCTGGCAAGAGCCCACCTGAAACGGTTCAATCATCCTGTCTGGATAAAAAGTACTACAACACCAATGTGCATGTGAGTGTCACCGTAGAAGAATGAAGGAAAAAAGAAACTGTGGATTCTCATGGAATGCCCCTCGAATGTAGTTGATGCGGGACGAGGCGGGGACGCTTTGAAATCAACCCAATCGGGCTTAGTCACTCTGTTCTCGCCGATAGCGTCATCCGACCAATCAAGCATCACTTTCTCGCCGCAATTCCGTCCGCGTCCAGCTTGTCTACAGCTGCTGCTTTGCATCCGGCACTCTCTCCACAATCCCATCCATCCATTGTCATTCGCCCCACGCCAATCCAGGCCATCGCAGCATGTCCTCCAAATCCAGATGGGCCACCGACGACGACCCCGAAACGGAAGCCATCCTAGCCCAGCGCAAGCGCGAAAAGGAAGAAAAGCGACGCGCCAAAGCCGAGAAACAGCGCCAGCTGGACGAGCAAGCCAAGCTCCAAGCCCAACAAGCTGATACAGATAGCAGCGCACCGCCAACAAAACGTCGCCGACTATCAAACGATTACATCCCAGACCAACAACAAACAACAGCCACCACCACCACCAACAATGAACCCACCATCCTCACCTTCCCAGCCCAAGAATGGGGACCCTGTCGAAACGTCACCAACTTCGAACGCCTCAACCACATCGAAGAAGGCTCCTACGGCTTCGTCAGCCGCGCCAAAGACATAACCACGGGCGAAGTAGTAGCCCTGAAGAAACTCAAAATGGACAACTCCCCAGACGGATTCCCCGTAACAGGACTCCGCGAGATCCAAACCCTCCTCGAAGCCCGCCACCAAAACATAGTCTACCTACGAGAAGTAGTAACAGGCACGAAACTAGACGAGTATACCTCCCTCCACCCTTCAACCCTCCCATCACGCAATCCTAACCAAATCCACAGAATCTACCTAGTAATGGACTTCCACGAACACGACCTCAAAACCCTACTCGACGAAATGCCCGAACCCTTCCTCCCCAGCGAAATCAAAACCCTCCTCCTCCAACTCCTCTCGGGCCTCAACTTCCTCCACGACCAATGGATCATGCACCGCGACCTCAAAACCTCCAACCTCCTCCTCAACAACCGCGGCGAGCTCAAAATCGCCGACTTCGGCATGGCCCGCTACTATGGCGATCCGCCCCCGAAACTCACCCAGCTCGTCGTGACCCTCTGGTACCGGGCCCCGGAACTCCTCCTAGGGGCAGAGAAATACGGCACCGAGATCGATATGTGGAGTGTGGGGTGTATCATGGGCGAATTGTTGACCAAGGAACCGCTATTGCAGGGGAAGAATGAGGTCGAGCAGGTGTCGAAGGTGAGCCTAACCCCTCCCCTACCCCCCAATCCTCTTCTTTCCAAGACCCATTACTCTGTTAAGGTTCACGTTGACTGATAAATGATGTGGTGTAGATATTCGCCCTCACCGGCCCGCCCACACCCCAGATCTGGCCTGAGTTCAGATCACTACCGAACGCCAAGTCACTACGGCTGCCGCCTACTGCATCTACTGCTACGGCGGGAGGAAACCCACCTTTATTGCCTCGGACCAAGTTCCCGTTTTTGACGAACGCTGGGCTACATCTGCTCTCGTCGTTGCTGGCGTTGAATCCCGGGGTGCGGATGTCGACGAAGGAGTGTTTGGCGCATCGCTATTTCAAGGAGGATCCTCGGCCGAAGCCGAAGGAGATGTTCCCGACGTTTCCGTCCAAGGCGGGTATGGAGAAGCGCAGACGGAGGGAGACTCCCGAAGCGCCGAAGCGGGGGCAGGAGGCTCCGAAGCTGGACTTTGCGAGTGTATTTGGTGGGCAGGGTGGTGGGGAGACGGGGGAACAGGGGGCTGGGTTTACGCTACGGCTGGGCTAGTATGGAGCCTGGTTTAATGTCTTATAATGTGCATATAGAACCTCGTGTGATTCAGGTTTTGGAGCGAGATGTCTCGATATCCAAAATACCTGGATGTATCACTAAAATACACTTCCAAACTGAACAGCAAGGTGTGATAAGGAACGTCACAGGTTAGGTAAGATGTAAAGTGAAATGAAGGCGGCGTCGACATCACTCACGTCAGCATGGCCTCACGAAAAGTAGTGTCTGTCGATAGCCGGGTATGTCATAAGGTACTCATCTGAATCGCTGGTGTTATACTCGCGTCGGAATGGCCGTGTGCCACGTACCTGGACGGGCGTGCGCGGGCCAATGATCTCGGGGATATCATGCACTCTGGCCGACGAGTTGCGGTCGAGCCCTGGCCCACTGTACAAGCAGCCATCACCGCTGAAGCTGCGCTCCGCCTTGGTGGCGTTGTTCCCCCTATCCGGACGGAGGTCGTTGGATTTGTCCACTAGAAAGTACTCGTCTCGCAATGCTAGCAGCGACGCCAGATCGTCCTGAGACGATTGGCTGCGCAAGACCGACGCATCGGTACTATGTTCACTCAGACGATCCTCTGCTCTAGCCGGGATTGAGGGCATATTCTCTGTCGAATCAATGCAGCGGACAATGCGATTACCGGCGCCTTCCTGCAGCTGTCCAGAAGTAACGCGCATATCAATCGTAATGCGAGGTATTTCACCACCATGATTCGACGGTTCGGAAATTTCAGCTGATGGCGCTGCTGGGGAGCAGCTGTTGGTCGAATCCACTGCCCTCGGTGAGTGACCGGCTGAATGTCTAGCATTCTCGCAAGCTTCGTATATCACGTCCTGTTCTCCATCGTGGCTTTCACCCAACTCTAGCCTTTGGCACAGCTCCAAAGACTCTATAGCCAACTCAGCATCTATGATTTGTGAATTGGAGACGTAGGCTGCCATATTGGCGCTCGTGTCAACAGGTCTGGCGCTGCTTGTGTCGACGATTGGCACCGAAAGATTGCTGGGTCTGCTCGCGCTGGCCGCACCATCCCTGTCACTATCGACTGTTCCAGACGGCAACTGTGGCTCAGAAGCGCCACTGTTGGAAGGAACAGGAACTTCGATGCACAGACCCTCGGTCTCGCTGCCTGCTGCCTGCGAAAAGTACGACTCGCTAGGATTGCGGGAGGATGAGCTCGGAATCGTAGGCTGAGGATTGTCTCCTCCGATAGCATCTGTAGACGCCACATTATGAGGCTCCGTTCCCCTATCTTTATTGCTCGACGTTGGTCGAGCATTTGAAAAGGTCAAAGTAAGTAATTCTTCAGTCTCCCGATGAGGCACAACGGTCGACTCTGAGGAAACGGTACCATCTTCCCATACAAATGGCCCCGGCAGACTCCGTAAATACCTGTCCATGTTGCCATCCGGCGGGTAGTTGCAGCTGATGCGCTGTAGGTCAGTACCAAACTCAACATCTTCCTCCGTGCTAGCCTCTGACACAGTCGACGAGTAGAGCGTGCCCTGCTGGTCGGAGGAGCCCTTGGCTGAATCCGTGGATGACCAAAGACTAGGTATATCATCGTTATGGCTTGGACGAGGAATGGGACGTCTGCGAAACCTAGGTCGGAAGGACAAAGAGTGCATTTTCCCCATTGACTTCTTCGGCAGGCTTTGCATCCACTGCTGCCATGATGTAGATGCAAGCGAAGGGTTGTGCCGCGGGTTTTGCGGATCAAAGACGGGGTAGTGGGCGCTTTCTTCGCAAGTGGTGGGAGGAGGTGTTGATGGTCGTCTAGTTCTTCATGCTATCTGTCAGCTTGCAGAATCCACAGGATCATATAGTTCGCCTACCTATTCCGGCTCATGGACGGACGAAGAGACGAGAACGACAACGACTGACGACGTCTGCTTCGGCCACTGCTTGAACCCTCAGACTTCATGGCTGTGCTATTCAAGTGCCTGATATTGACTCAGTGAATCAGAAGCTTGGAGCAGAAGTTGCACAGAAAGATACTTTGCGGGGAAATGATCTGGATAGTGGGAACCCAGTTGGTAAATAACCAGCAGCAGGCGATGCCAAAGTACATACGAGACGGGTCATGCCGGGTGCATTTGCAATGTTGGACAAGGCAGGCATTGAATTGAGTGGCTGCTTCTCTGCCTGTATTACCTGCATGGCGGTTTCCTGAAATATCTCGGTTGTGAATGTACAAACCAAGTGTCGGGGATATACTTTGATTGGCTCCTCAAACCGATTTACTATTTATGTTTCGTAATGGATGCTTTTCTGGTATCAGAGTTAAGCTTAAATTGATAATATGGCAGACTACCTGGGGCTTACCTGGCGAAACAACCATCTTATTTGGGTCATACTATAAACTACTAGACCAAGGTGTTATTTCTGATAGCTGACAGTTACTAAACTGTCAATAGTATCACGGAGCTGTGCTACCACCACACCAGCCTTCGTCCATGCCACACCCTCTCCCTACCATTTTCCTGCGCTAAGTCTACCCCAGAAGATAAGGCTTGTTTTTAGTATATGCAGAAGCCAAAGCCTACCGCCATCCCCTTGAATTCAGATCCCTAGTGTGCTAGGCCTGAGACGCGAGAATAAAGAGCAAAGTCTATCAGGTCACAACTTCATATCACAGCATCAACAACCATACCGAGCCATGAGAGCTTTGAATGAAGGATCGGCCAGAAGCTGCGTCGCATTCAGACGCTCCTCGGGCGAGTATAGGAATACCTTCTGCATGACGGAGAGCACAAGTTCTCGTTCAGCTGGGTCGGCATCGGGTCGATAGCGCGCAAGCCCTGATGCGAGGGTGTTATTCTTATCGGGCGTTCGATTCTGGTCGTACCAGGAATCCAGGCAATCATCATAGATGTAAGAGCCTTTCCATTGCTCTGGTAGCGGGCCCAGACGGGCGGTAATAGTCGTCAAAACTCCGCCTATGTACCCATCATGGAATGGTCGTCCCCCTTGGTAAAGTTCAACAAAGTTGACCATGTAGCTCCACATGTCGCAGACAAAGCTTGGAGCTTCTCCGTGGAGACACTCCGGGGAGCAGAAACACAGAGATAGATCACCGGGTTGAGCCACAGGGTCGCCGACCTTCATGGCCAGACTGAAGTCAGCGAGATAGAAATCTTCTATACACAGAGTTTCAGGGACTTGTATGGGCCGCACCAGTTCTCCGGGCTTCCAGAGCTCGACGTCTTGGATAGCTCTCTTTGATAACCAAGTGAGCAATTCATATTTAACAGTCCTGTTAAGATTGTGAAGAGATGCCCATTCCCCACAGGCAGTTTCTCTCGCTCAGATCTTGACGAAGATTCATCAGATGGCGACGATATGAAATGTGTAGAATAACTTACCGCAGTGCACAATTCCAGCGTTGTGCAGAGCTTCCAACGCCTGTAGCAATTGCTTCGCAGCTGACATGCGAGTACTTATAGCTAAGTTCGTCAGTGTATAACGGTCAAGACACGGCCCCATCAAAGGAAACACCATAACCCTATGGTGACCTTCGCTTCCCTTTAGTATAAAAGTATCTGAATATGTCACAAGGTGGGACCTGTCCTGCACGCTCTGAACGATCTCATCTTGTATACGTAGCTCGATGCCTCCGTAATCGCCAGTGCACAAGACTTTGACAGCAACATCTTTATTTTCCTGGAGGTCAAGGGCCATCCAGACCGTCGAGAAACCACCAGAACCGAGCTTATGCTCAATCAGATATCTTTCATTGAGAATCTCTCCTCAAGGCAAATAGGATAGAAAACGCTTGGCGTTACCTTCCGATCATACTTTTCCCAAGGCTCAGCAAATTCATCGAGCTCAATCTCTTCATCCTCTGTGCTCGCAAAGTCTCCGAAGTCTGTCATGTCATCTTTTGCAATTGCTTGCGGTGAGACGCCAATACTCACAGTCGTTGAAGCTGATTGCGCCATCGTCCTAAGGTGTTTGAGTCGTCTTAAATTATCCGTGATATCTGACACCCGAATATGCTGGTCGGCTGCCCCAGAGTCGCTTAGGAATATTGTGGGTAAGACAGTAGTATGTGAGCTTTGAGACCCGGCACATTTCAGGCACTATGCAGTCGATAAGGATGGGTTGCACTGCCGGTTGTTGGTGGTGATAGTCCTAGTTGGAAGGGACCTCATGTTTTATACTATAGACCATACTTTAGGCCTGAGGTTGGAAGTGGAGTCTGAGCACTTCACTTGACGTACATTTACAGTGAAGTACAGTAAATGCTCTATGAATAACCTAATCCAATGATTAGTAGAACATCGGTAGTTCCTGATCATCATACTGTCACCGAGCAGTAAACACAAGAATTCAATTCAGATGTCATCTATACGGAGTACCCTACTGCTTATACTATAACACCCGACTTCGCGGCAACCAGAGGTTGATGTAGATGCTTGGATCAAAGACCTGCTCACCTGTTGAGACGCAATTAGGGAGTAACTCTTTACCTTTTCTAACTATAATGTGGCATTGCAGCCACTTAACATTATTGAATCCTCCTAGTGTTTGTATAGCCAGACAACAGTTGTATCTAGAGTATCTCCTATAACAGAAGGAACCCCCTCCCTTCTTCTCACAAATTCACAGTGCTGCAGAACCTGCGCTTCTACCTAATTGAAGGGATGAAGTGATTTATTCACCTCTGGGGTAACTCGGGCTAGTTATTCATCTCATTCAAAATGAATGTTGTTCCATTCGGTCTCCAGCCTCCTTTCCTTCCTTTCCTATATCAAGCTGCTATGCTATCTGTAACATCAAAGAGTACTCAGCTTTTGCAATGACGTTTACTAACGTTCTCACCGCTGATCTTCATGAGGGAACCGTCGATGGAATTGCCATTAAATGGAATCACAGCGCTAAAGCTAGGCTGACTACTAATGCCATCGATTACGAAGTGGACGCTACCGCTATGAAGGCAGCTACTGAGCACTTTACGCACAAGTGCTCTAAGCACCTGGGGAAGACCACTGCCATAATAATGTAGGTCTTCTTTCCTCATTTTTAGGACTTGAATCAGACACTCACTTCTTTCCTTCTAGTGGATCTTTCCATAAATTCACCACGGTCACCAGATCCGGCAAGAAGAAAGCGGTCCACTCCCATGAAACCCTTCCCCTAAATCCAGGCGGCGTCAAGGTCCATGTGAACGTTACCTTGCCCGATGGAGGGCTCGTACAAAATGCCCAGTGGAGAGGTGAAGCGTCGTATTGAGAAGAAGGGCCATAGCAGACCCAAGCCTGTCCGTAGGCGAGTATGCTGAATTGTCCGACAGGGGTAAGTCTACCAATAGCAAAACACATGAAGCAATACGATCTGATCCATATAGATACACCGTCCCCGGTCTTGAACTAGTTCAAGCGCCAAAGAGAAAATAGCAGAGTTGCTATTAGAACCCTATCGGGTGGTTGACCGTACCAAAGTTCCGTGGATTGGCTTTCTTAAGTTATCAGCAAGGACAACAAAGGCTTAAGACTGATCAAAAGCAACAGCAGCGCTATTTAGGGCTACAGCAACGCCGAATGCAGAATGATCTTCCTGAGGAACACTGACAACATGCATCACAGCCGCGAGCAGCAATGACGAGCCAAACAAGCCTTGCAACACTGTAAGATATCAGAAATACAAGCACTGGACAAGGTCTTTGCAGAATAACAAGGGTCGCAGGGATAGACGCTGAAGATTCTGGGTAATTGGACCCAAACACGCCCTGTTTCGAGTCTTCCGGGGAGGCTACGCATATGAGAAAGATGAAACATGTAGGAGGCAAGTCATAGACAAAAAGAGGAGGCGATAATGGCTCATACGTAGCTGACCAGTCAGATGCAGCACTTTTTCAAGTTAATGACAGCTTTGTAGATGTCTCCTCCTTTGTTGTTCATGTAGTTGTGTTTAGCTGCGGCGACGACCTTCCTGCGTTGTAGCATACACTGCTTATGGTTTCAAGTGTTTACGTGACTTTGACGTATTTGACGATATCCAGGGCTTTTTCTTTACTTCAATTGATGAAGCACCTGCATAGCTAGCATCTCCTATAGCACGCTCGAGCAGGTGCAGTGTAAGAGGATCAATTTGATACGTCCCACGCCTACTAAGAGTACTGCTTGGACAACTTTCGATTGAGTGTGATCCTATAAGAAATCTTGGACATGTGAGATTTTGGACATGTGAGAATATACAGAATGAGGCTAGGCCTAGGTTTCTAAACTGATTCAAAATAAAGACATACTTCGAGCTTATGTAGGATATCCTCACCTTATGTGGGATATTCACTCAGCAGCGGCTGCGCCGGGCGAGATGACGGGAGCGGAGCTAATGGCGGAGCTCGAATTCCTTCCGTTCTGTCAGCTCCTCCTGCTGTCACCAGTTCAAGCAGCCGACAGATTCCCATCATTGGTAACTGAGTTACACAGGAAGCTCAATTGATTCCATAGATTATTGATTCTAGTCTTATTATCATTTAACCCTCACTTTCAGTCCCTAAATCTCTACCGCCATGGCCGCGAGCCAGGATACCGTTTCCTTCGATGCGATCATCCAAGCCGGTATGACCATCATTCCCCGACTCACCCACGCAGAGCGCTTGAGACTAACAGGCTTGATCCAGATCGCAAGAGAAGACGCAACGAAGAACTAGCAAACAAGCTCCTGAGCAAGAAGAAATCGACCAACCCGCCCACGAAACCGACAGGGAAGACGCAGAATGTGAAGCCAGGCAGCCTAGCAAGTCGGATCGGAGTAGCGAAGGTGAGGAGATCAGGAACTCTGCAAGCTTGCTCATTCTTGTCGCATAACTAATTCGATGTGTCGCTCCATTCAGCGCTCCGCATCGGCTACTCTACCGGCCAAAACCACTCCTCCAATCCCAGCGCCCGCGCGGCAGGGTGCCCGACAGAACGCAAGGCCATCGAACAAGCGCCGTCCTGATGAGAACCGCCTTCTTTCTGCGCTTAATCCCGCGAGCGGCCAGGCTAACGTACGAAATGGGGGTGGACTGTCGATCAAGGGAAAAGGGTCCGGGCCATTCGTTGTTGTCGGTAGCAACTTCGCGCCAGGGACTACGGCGGCCGATATTCAATCAGCTCTGGAACCTGTTTCCGGCCCGATATTGCGCTGCTGGGTCACTGCGCAACATCCTGTTGTCACAGCGGAGATTACATTTGCAGAGAGACAGGCCGCAGAGGGGGCCGTTGCCAATTTTCACAACCAGAGGGTAAGTCACTCGTCGCAACTATTAATGATTTATTCTAATCGATCAGGCCGACGGCCGGATCCTCTCATTCCACCTTAAGCAACCTGCGAACCCCGACCTGTTCGAGCGCTCCAATGCCCAGCCCGCCGTACAGAACTCCCAATCGTTCAGTGACCTCCGCGAGCAAGCAGACCGCGATCGCCGTTCTCATCGCTTGGCCGATGCAGCTGTTCAGGACGGACGGTGGGGATTCAATGATCAGAACCAGGCTGGCCAAGGCCCATCCAGGGGGAACAATCGCAGAAACCGGGGTGGGCGGAAGGCAAGGGGTGGAGCACAGAATACACAAGAAACAGGCCTCTATAGCGATGAGATGATGGTCGACGCACCTCAGCAGAACCAGCGAAACCGGGGCCGGCGGTAATGCAGCCATCAGTGGTTCAGTCTGAAAATACGACGTTCTTTGATACAGGCTGTTCAATTGAACAGGCAGGATGGATTTACTTCTTTTCTGATTACATGTTTTTGCAATTGCCGTGGCTACTTAGAATGAAGACCTGTACGATATGAAGAAATACTTATTTTTTTTTTTTTCTGGACGAATACCCTTTGGCCGTAGACAGATCAAATAACTGACTGGAGCGGATTATCGGCAGCTGATATGATAAGAACGCAATCACGTGTGCGGAAGTTTTGCGGAGAAGTTGGAGAGCTTCATCTGCATTATTTGCTGGATGATGATCTTGATTTTTTCAAATAAGGGTTTCCCTGCCAATATCGTACCAATTAAACATATGAATTAACTCGCTACTATTTAACCGAGAAACATCGAGATGAACCACGCAACAAGGCGCGCCGTGAGGCAGCTCCTCAGAAAACATCCCAACCAGACCCTCTTTCTTAAATCGCAACGATGGTCCTCAACTACATCCGCATCTTCGACATCTACCTCTGAAACAAGAAAATGGTCGACACCACTAGCGCAGACTCTTGCCAATGCGATCAAAGTACGACATCAATCCAATTGTCATTGAGCCAATCTAATCCGCACTCTACCAGGTAACCGGACCCGTTCCTATCGCCGCCTTTATGCGCCAGGTCCTCACAAACCCCGAAGGAGGCTACTACACGACGCGACCTGAAGGCCACGGCGAAGTATTCGGCAAAAAAGGAGATTTTGTCACCTCACCCGAGATATCGCAGGTCTTCGGAGAACTGGTGGGGATCTGGACAATTGCGGAATGGATGGCGCAGGGACGGAAGCGCAGAGGAGTGCAATTGATGGAGGTTGGACCGGGGAAGGGCACATTGATGGATGATATGTTGCGTGTGAGTTGTCCAGTTGCTCTGACCTTGCGACGTCTTACAACTACTGATACGGACGGAGCTAGACATTCCGGAACTTCAAGATGTTCTCGTCGAGTATAGAGGCGATATATCTGGTGGAAGCTAGTGCCACGCTACGGGAAGTGCAGAAGAAATTGCTGTGCGGGGATGCAGTCATGGAGGAGACGGATATCGGACACAAGAGTACATGCAAATACTTCGATGTTCCGATCGTTTGGGTGGAGGACATCCGACTGTTGCCGCATGGTATGGAAGCATGACTGATATCTGTGCGATGAACATCTTACTGATGGATTGCCCTACAGAAGAAGAAAAGACCCCCTTCATATTCGCCCACGAGTTCTTCGACGCCCTCCCCATTCACGCCTTTGAATCCATCCCTCCCTCTCCAGAGAACCAGCCTGAGCAGAAGGAAATCATGACTCCCACCGGCCCAGCAAAACTTCACCAGCCCTTGAAGCCAGCCAACACTCCCCAATGGCGCGAACTCTTGGTCACCTTAAACCCGAAGGCCGTGGAGGAGAACATTGAAGGCGAGCCCGAGTTCAAGCTCACCCTCGCCAAGGCATCGACGCCATCCTCTCTCGTGATCCCGGAGATCTCCCCGCGCTACCGCGCCCTCAAATCCCAGCCGGGATCCACCATCGAAGTCAGCCCGGAGAGTCGTATCTACGCAGCTGACTTTGCGCGCCGTATCGGCGGTGCCTCAGAACCACCCCGCACGGTCACAAAGGGCGCTGCTGCTTCTGCGCCGGCCCCCGCGAAGCGCACATCGTCCGGTGCTGCCCTGATCATGGACTACGGCACTCTCAATACCATCCCGATCAACTCCCTGCGGGGTATCCAGGAGCACAAGAATGTGCCGCCGCTCTCTTCACCAGGACAGGTGGATGTCAGCGCTGATGTGGATTTCACGGCGTTGGCGGAGGCGGCGATCGAGGCTAGTGAGGGCGTGGAGGTGCATGGGCCGGTCGAGCAGGGTGATTTCCTGCAGGCGATGGGCATCGAAGAGCGCATGCAGCAGCTTCTGAAGAAGGTCGATGATGAAGAGAAGCGCAAGACACTGGAGACAGGATGGAAGAGACTGGTAGAGAAGGGCGGTGGCAGTATGGGCAAGATCTACAAGGTGATGGCCATCGTTCCCGAGAACGATGGCAAGCGTCGACCGATTGGATTCGGTGGTGGACTTGTGATGTAGTAGCTGTCGATACTGCCCATGTATAATACAATATAGACATGTAGACAATCAACCAAATACCCATATATTATGACTGTTATTCTAATGCGCCAACCATGCATCTACCCCATATTCTTTACCCATCTACCCAACCCAACCCACCAGTGAAAAGAACGAACAAATAAAAAGGGTATCACCACCAAACCAATCAATCCCTCCAAACCCAACCTCATATCCATAAATGAAATATAAAAAAATCTAATACTCCCTCCAAATATCCTCCACCCAAGCCTGCGTCAACCTCTCATCAGGCCCATACTTCTCCTGCCACTGCACGAACCCACCCTCGAGGACAAACACCTCCTGCTTCTTACTCTCCTCCTCGCCGAGGATGCGCTCGCGCTCGCGGGCATACCGCAGCGCAGCAGATGGCCCGCGCTGCTGGCTCAACGCGCAGTGGAAGACCACCTTTTCTTTGTCCGCCAGGGTGCGGATGAGTTCGGGGAGGCGGTAGTCTAGTGAGGAGCTAGGGACCCAGGTGGAGGTGGTGATGTGGCCGCCGACGTGGTCTATACCAACTTATTAGTATAGTGGATCGAAAAATAGTAGAGAGAAGGAATGTGGGTATACGTACCAGAGTCACGCACATCGATAATGGCGAGTTTGCTAGGCGTGGATGTCGAGAGGAGGAGGGCTGAGAGGGCGTCGCGGCTGATGCGGGGGAGGGTTGCAATAGTTATGGAGGACATTTTTATGGTATAATTTTTCGGACTGGCGGAGGAAGATATATATTGATGTGCAGAGGGGGAGAGAGCGGGGGGTGCTATGTTCTGCTTCTGCAAAACCACACGTAAGTCAGACTATACTGTCCTTGAACTAACTATCAAATATTAGTCCAACGTAAGTATACTGGAGTATGTAGCGGAGCAGCCGGCGGAATCAACTACGCAGTCACGTGCCCGCAATTTCCGATCCGCAACCCGCAACGGGCGAGATTTATCCTCATATCCAACAAATAACAATTTCCTCGACGCCTGTCCGCCTCCCACCACAACATTCAGCTAGGATAGGACGGTGTTATTTTGGGAAAATACACCCCTCCAGCTACCAATTGACTAGGATTTGTCGAATCAATCACCATGGACATGCGCGCCCTATCCCGCAGCCTCCTCCGGGCGAAGCCAACCACGACCCTCTACAAGAGCTGCCAGCAGCAACAGCATCTCCTCCCAGCACGAATTGGCCTGCGCTTCTCTTCTGACGCCTCCTCCTCCTCTTCCTCTTCCTCCTCTTCTTCTTCCACCCCATCCAACAAGAACAACACAACCACACAACCCCCGACCCGCCAAACACAACAACCCTCCTCATCCCCATCAACGTCCCAGAAACCCACCGACTTCGACCAAATCCTCAACAAGCTCAACTTCAACAACACCACCACCACCACTCCCACACCCGGCAGCAATGCGGCAGTTACACCCGGCAGCACCACCCGCGCCTTCAACGACAGCCTCTCCCTCTCACGCGCGGTAGGCCTCTCCGCCGAGACGGACGGCCTGCGGACGGCTACATCCCTGCGCAAGATCGATCTGAAGCTGGGCCCGACGCTGGGAAGACAGGTGACGGTTGAGCCGGAGCGCGGGATGGATTTGCCGGCGGCGTTGAGGTCGCTGAGCACGGTGATCAGTCAGAATAAGATGAAGCAGTCGTTGAATAAGCAGAAGTACCATGTGCGGAAGGGTATGGTGAGGAAGCAGCTCAGGATGCAGAGGTGGAGGAAGTTGTTCAAGTTTTCGTTTCAGGCGACTGTTAAGAGAATTCAGAAGATTAGAGGGCAGGGGTGGTGATGCAGTGATTTTCTTTTGGTTACCCAATTGGGGGGGGTTGTTGTGTATAGAGAGGTATGTATGTGTATGATGGGGTGAGTGGGTAAAAGGGTTATTATTTTGTGTGTACTATATTGTTGTTAGTGTTGTTATTTTTCGTTGTGTTTTGTTTTGTTTTGTTTTTGTTCTGCTATGTCTGTGGAATTTACACATGAGATACTATAACTGGTAGTATATCTTGCATCTGTTTGTATCTCCAGCTATCATCATCCGCATCAATCATACATTCAATCAGTCAATATACACATCAATCCCTCTTCCCACTCATATACCCTCCATACCCATACCCTCCATACCCAGCTCCTCCCCCTCCTACACTACCACCACCACCTACAGCAACAGTCGCAGGCGAATACCCTCCATATCCATTCATCCTAACCCCATTCCCATTCCCACCAAACCCCTTCCTCCCAGCACCGCCAGTAACCCCCAAAATACCCTCCCCCCTCCCCCGTCCCCTACCATAAACCCTCTCCCAATAAACCGCCAACACAGCCCCAACCACCGCAGCCAACCCAAAAAACACGACCCTCGAAAACCACCCCCCACAGCTTCCCCCCTCCTCCTCCTCCTCATACCCATCCCCACCACTAGGCCACCCAATCCCCCTTCCCCCCTCCACCCACTTCACACTAAACCGAAACGTCAACGGCTCCCCCCTCACAACCTTGGTCCCATGACCCTCCGTCCAAGGCTCCCTAGCCCCGCGATTATCAAACTCGGGCACACTATACGCCGTGCCCGCAACCACATACCCGGGGTCTTTGCGCTTCTTCTTCTCCGTACTAGCCATATTATGCACCAGGACATTCATATCCGTCCATATATGCAGATGGCTTAGCTGTAGCGTGCCCTGAATGGCGAAGGTGATGGGCGTGTAGGCTTGTTCGCCGCCGGTGGAGACATCATCATCAATTATATCGATGTCTGGAGAGGAAGGGGAGGCAGAGAGAAGCGGTGCGGTGGGCACGCGACAGGTCATGGGCACGTCCGAGTGGACGTAGTACTCTAGTAAATGGTAGAGTTCATCGGGGAGGGAGGCGATGGTGCATGTTAGGGTCTGTTCGGCGACGCCGTAGTGGAGGGATAGGGGTTGGGAGGTCTCGTTGCATGTTGGGAAGGGGATGTATTGGAGGTTGCCCAGGGGGTCGGTTATCTATATTTTTTTTATTTATTCCTCTATGTTAGTTGTATTGTGTTGGGTTTGGGGGGTTATTGTGGGTGGGTGGGTGGCGTACGTGTTCGCCGGAGTCACTGATTACCACCAATTATGTTAGTAACGTTGTTGGATTGGGATGGATTGGATTATTGAGTGGACATATATAACTAGGGGATTGGAACGTACATCGTCCGGTTTAGACATGTTACTGGCACGGCTTGACCATAACTGTAGCCGGGGTTTGCTGTTGCGCGTTGCTCACTGCTGCTTCTCCCCGCTGCGGTGGATGTGTGGAAGAGGAGACTCAATAGTCCATAGTGATAGATCCGATGGAGGGGTGCCCTTTCAGGAAAGGGCATTATGAATAAATAAGAGAGAATAAATAATTGATTCGGAGCTCTCGCCGGCCAGCGCAATGGGGAATTTCGCGCGCTGGCGAGGTAGAAGGCGGGTTTTGATGGTCAGGAGAAGCGGCGTGGTCGGAGCCGCGGTAAGGAGACGGACCCTTTTTTGCTTACCGACTTGAGTCTATTTGGACGGCATGTTGCACTTGCTACATAAGAGGCTACGTACATTCAACGCTACTGGTTATTCCTTGGTATATTTCTAGGATTCATGCGACTTAATTGTCTACAGTTCAGTTGCAAGTACTGCACTGTCCAACAGTTTCATTGCTAACTCATAATTAAGGATGACACTCGTGGCTTCATCAAAATGACTATGTACTCCTTTTGCTATTTCAATCCCTTTTCGTATCCAAAAATTTACGCCAGGTTGGCCTTCTTCTTGAAGGCAAGCAGCAGACCGCTGGTCGACGCATCGTGGTCCGAGCCAGCGTCCGCGGTCTCGAGCTCCTTCTGGATCTTCTTGGCTAGCACCTTGCCCAGCTCCACACCCCACTGGTCGAAGGAGTTGATGTTCCAGATGGCACCCTCGGTGAAAGTGAGGTGCTCGTAGTAGGTGATCAGAGCTCCCAGAGTGGAGGGAGTGATCTTCTGGGCCAGGATGGAGGTCGTCGGGCGGTTGCCCAGGAAGGTCTTGTGAGAGACCAGGTTCTCAGGGGCACCCTCGGCCTTAACCTGCTCAGGGGTCTTTCCAACCATCAGGGCCTCGGACTGGGCCAGGAAGTTGGAAGCCAGCATGCGCTGGTGCTTGCCGCCCTCAACGGGGTTGTGCGACTCGGCGGCCATGATGAAGTCGGAGGGGATGAGCTTGGTGCCCTGGTGCAACAGCTGGAAGAAGCTGTGCTGGGCGTTGGTGGCGGGCTCACCGAAGAGGATGGGGCCGGTGGTGTACTTGACGTACTCGCCGGTGCGGGTGATGGCCTTGCCGTTACTCTCCATGGAGAGCTGCTGCAGGTAGGCAGGGAAACGGTGCAAATACTGGTCGAAGGGAGCCACCAGGTGGGTCTGGGCGCCGAAGAAGTCGCTGTACCACACGCTCAGCAGACCACCGAGAACGGGGATGTTCTGCTCCAGAGGAGCCTCGCGGAAGTGCTTGTCCATGGCGTGAGCACCGGCCAAGAACTGGTGGAAGTTGTCGTAGCCGATGTACAGAGCGACGGACAGACCGATGGCGCTCCAAACGGAGTAGCGACCACCCACCCAGGACTCGAAACCGAACATGTTCTTCTTGTCAATGCCGAACTTGGTGACCTCCTCCTCGTTGGTGGACAGGGCCACGAAGTGCTTGGCAATGTGAGAGTCCTCCTTGGCAGTCTCGAGGAACCACTTCTTCGCCGTGTTGGCGTTGGTGGTGGTCTCTGCAGTGGTGAAGGTCTTGGAAGCGATCAGGAAGAGTGTGGTCTCGGGGTTGGAGTTCTTGAGGGCCTCAGCGATGTGGGTGCCGTCAATGTTGGAGACAAAGTGCAGCTTCATGTCGGGGGCACCGTAGGGCTTCAGAGCCTCGGTCACCATGACGGGACCACTAATTGTGATGTTAGCAACGGCTTTTTCATTTCATCACTTCCATTGGCCGACTTACAGGTCGGAACCACCGATACCGATGTTGATGACGGTGTCGATCTTCTTGCCAGTGTAACCCTTCCACTCACCACTGCGCACCTGCTCAGTGAACTCCTTCATGTGCTCGAGAACGGCATTGACATCCTCAACGACGCTCTTTCCGTTGACCTGCATGGGCTCGTTGGAGACATTGCGCAGGGCAGCGTGGTAGACGGCACGGTCTTCGGTGAAGTTGATGTGTTCACCCTTGAACATGGCATCACGGAGCTCCTCGACATTGGCTTCCTTGGCCAGCTTGACCAGCAGAGCCAGGGTCTCCTCGGTGAGGAAGTTCTTGGAGAAGTCGAAGAGGACCTCGGAGTTGTCGACGGTGTTGTTGAAGGTGCGGCTGAACTTCTCGAAGCGCTGGGGGTCCTTCTGGAAGCACTCCTTGAGGACGATGTTACGTCCGACGGAGTTGTGGTGCTCCTGGAGCTCCTTCCAGGCGGAGAGCTCGGTGGCCTGCGAGAAGCTGGGCATTGTGGTGGATGATAGAGCTTTGACCGACGATGGGAAAATGTTAGCGCGGGGCACAATCAGAGGGGGGATTGATGCAGACGAAGCTTGGATGGAGCTGGAACAGGACGGATGCTTACCTTTTACTTTAAAAACAGATGAAACTTGAAGGAAGGAAGAAGAAGAAGAAGGCAGGGAAAAGGGAGGAGGGGTAGCAGGGAAGAATTGAAGGGGAAGAAGAATAGTAGTTTAGAAGGCGGGAGTCGCGGAGGGGAGAGGAGAGCAACAAGACAAGGTATGTCGTCAACCGGCGTGTTGGGGTCCGTAGGAGGGAGGGGCTGCCGTGGGGCATCCACCACAACCAGCAAAGTGACGCAGATTCATTCCCCCGGTGGGCGCCTTTCCCATTTGTCCTTGCCAGAAACCTCTGCCGGTCAGCTGAACGTTTGTTTCCCGTTGCTAAACAAATTGTCTTGCGTTGATCCTGTTTGTCATCACTTTATTCTAGACTTCTACACCTTTTTGGTGATCACCACTGGAAAGCTATCCGTATCATCACTTCCACACTCACAGCAGTTATCTCCGGCGATTTCGTGTCTGTGTCTCCGGCCGCATCGTCATGGGAAGCTTCATCATCCAGATTGACCGGGCTCCACTAAGACAGTCCTGGCCATTCTGCCCAGGATGAATCACAGTAATAGCCGGTTTCAAGGTCACACCGGGCACTCAGTCCCATCCTGCGTTATCAGGACCCAAGACCACGTCCCCAATAATAGAAATAGAAATAGTAATAGCTACAGATGTATGTTCCTGTCAGTCCCTCGGAAAAAAGGTCGCCGTGGAATTGTTACCCCCACGTCCTGCCTTCCAGATCGTCTATCGAAGGCTCGGGAGCTTCGGTCGAGATCGTTCCATACTTTCCCTTTTAGCCGGTTGCGTTTACTGTGTACTGCTGTGCCTTTACCGATGTCTCCATTCTACCCCTTATGGTTTACCCCTGGATTCAATTGACTATTGCCTCATCGTAATCATAGCTCACTTCTTCCCTAACGTTCTTCTGATGTTCAACGACCAGTGGAATCTGGATGTGGCCGATTCCACTAGGTAAAGGGCAACCTAATAACAAGTATTCCGTCTGGATCCGAACGAGGCCGTTAACAGGGAAATGTCAATAATGGGGACTGCTGTATGATCCTCCCAATAAGAAATTGTATTCAATGTCATGTTGAACAACTTCGAAGCTGGTGACCCCCAGAGCTATTCATATACAATTGCCTATTCGATGCTGCATATGCATGAAGAGGCTCTGTCTGTCGAAGAATTAGCTCTTCCTTCACTCACAATTTCTGCAGCGTCTTACGAATCATTAGTAATTGCGGCATAGAGTAGCTGCTTGACTTCGTTGCAGATATCGAGTAGCACCCCTGCCCTAGGATACTGGCACGGGAATCTTCGACAGTGGCTAGTGAGGCTCTGCCGAGGCTATGTGTTGATCCTCCTGAGGGCAATGATTTGAAAAAGCCAGTATCATAATAATGTAGATCTGAAATTTTAGTTTCTGAAAAGCAAGTCTATTAAAATAAGTATTAATATATTCTGGCAGAAGCAACTGAAGTGCTGAGGCCTAGCATGTTGGACCTCTCGCGTAGAGCAATCGGATGTAGGGCGGATCTCAGATTAGCAGAATAAACCGGCTGCTTTTTCATTGCATATTAGTAAAGCGTACTGTTTACGCAATGATTGCTGGACGATAGAACAACACGGATAAGGCGAGAGCGGAAGCACTGCTGGGCTGCCAAGATAAGTCCGCACGGGCCACATGGTTCTTCTCGAACTGCGAT